TTTATTTTACTGTCATACTACACGCAATTTAGAGGACTCGTGCAATCGCTCACGAAGTGATTATCCTCACCGCATGTCATATAAATGACAGTCCTGTCGGGTATCTCTTTTTAGAATGAGTTAAATACTGTAATAATGTAAGAATGAGTAGGCACTGAGTAAATTATAATTATGCCAATATCAGATAAAACGGTAGACAAAATATTGAGATTGTTTGAGCCAGTTGAATGTAAAATAAGAAATAAAATTGTAAAACGAGTAATTTGAAAATACAGTAGAGGAATTCAAAAGTAGTTTCGATATACAGCTCCACTATAAGTGAACGGGGTTGTAAATAAATGCCTGAAGGTACGCGAAAAGGAAAATCCAATGTAGATATTGAGGTAAACTATCCTCTTAGCTATACAACAATAATTAAATGTATTAATTATATCGTCGTTCAATAGACCAGTGAGCAATTAACCACCTTCCGAGATAAAGTATAAAGTGCATATTATAGATTTTTTTTTCTTTATTTACAATCTATAAATATAGATTTATTAATCGAACCAACGTGTTTTGTAAAAGACAACCGAGATTTGTTATTTAGATCAAATATGTGGACTCCTCTTAGTGAAATGATCGAAAATGTTATCTTCGCTTCGACCAACGCTCAACCGATATAATTGAATAGGTCGTTTTAAAAAGGAAATGAGTCACCGATTTTTCAAAAATGAATTTTGTCAAATTTGATAATTATATACTTTGTTTATTAGTTACGTATTCTGTGTGAAAACTAAATTTGTCAGACTCATATTTAATACAAATGTTGAGCACAAAAAATTAGAATCACTGCAAAAACTAGTTATGAAGTTATGAAGTTTTTTGTGGCTAGCGAAGAATTCCAATTTTGTGACTTGTGTCGTTTTTGAAATGACCAATTCAATTGTTTGACAATTAACAGCTGCAAGTTTAGGTATCGTGAATGGGTTTTACACGTCCAATTGCCGACGACCGAGTGTGAGTGTGTTGGAATGTGTAAAATACCGTCACAATGCGTTATTGTTTAACTGGCAGGTGTGCCTTTTACAAATAATTATTACGTGTTTGAGCCAACAAATGTCCGAGGCAAATTCGGTATCTCTAGGTTGTATAATTACTTGGCGATTTTGTTTTTGCATTCATACATGCGATAAACCGTCATTGGCCTAGTCCCAAAGGAGTCCCGCTAAAGAAAAACCGTGGAATTTCATAAAAAAAACTGCCATTATATTGTCGGTGACAAGAGGAAAAAAACAACACAAAATTTAGGGCGCCATGTCCACATCCGCCCACGCATCGCTTTGGGTATCGCACGGGGGCGGCTCTTATTAATGTATTATGGCGGCCGATGCTTATCCAAAATTCGTTTAATCCATAAACCGAGCGCGGGTTTAATCGCCGAAAATAAAAACATTATAGCATGACCTAATAATAGAAATTATAAATTATTATTATCTTTTTCTCTCTCTATGTACTCTGACCTTTTCATTATTTATTATAATGATATAAAATTAATTATCTAATTAATTGTAATCATCATGTTATTATTAAATGAGTGTAGGTACATGTTTTTTCTTTTGTAATGAACGCTATCCAGTATGGCAAACCGCTTTACTGGGAGTAGACTATAAACCATAACGATCGAAAAACTCTGAAAAAACATAATATTGTTGTTGTTCGGATCAATAAAAAGAAAATGCACGAGTTATCTAAGATAAAATGGAATGTTCACATTTTACGACATTCAGATAATTGAACAAATTCCTTATCGTTTCAACCATCAGTCCTTTGATTCACCAACAAGTCGTTAAAATAGTCATGAATGTTGTTTCTTTAAAGGTGCTCTTGGGGGGAGAGGGGGCTATAAGATTTGTAGTTTGATCTGATTTATCATGAGCCTACCAAGAGAAAAACACATTTTTAATATTTTCAACGTGTTAATATAATAATATATGTATGATTACACTTCAGTTGTACAACTTATCAGATCAGTTTTCCATAGTGATACAATTTGTTAAAATAATAATAATAAATATTAAAGCCATCTTAAAAATCAGTTGTTAGCATTAACACGGAAAGGAAGTAACCTTCTTGCACCCCAACTAGTTTTGACCTGTTTATCGTTAGTACTTAGTGCCTTCAAAAATTAAAACAACCTTCATCATTGTTACTCTACTCTGTTGATCCGTGTGTTTTGTTTTGTGATTTACCCACCAAAATTTCACATCCAAAACGATGAGTCTAGCTATAATTTATGACATTCCAAATTGTTGTAGAAAAATGTTGATAAAATCAAGAAAACCAATAAAAAAAAAAATACAAACAGCAGTCAAGCCAGCTCAAAATTCAATCCAGGATTGTGACATGCTATTGGCATCATCAAAGTTACTAATCGCCAATGCATACAAGCTCCTAGTCGGATGCAGTTCTTAATTAAGAGGCATTATAGAGAAGTGTACACAATTTGGACTTACTTCATTATTACTTTATATAAACTAAGTAATGAAGTCTCTGGAACGCTCTTAATAATCAGATTACATTACACTATTTTTGTGGACACGTTCTAGCTGATAGACCTCATTAGCCGTATTTAGTATAGAAACCTAACCTATCCCACTAAATCAATAAATACTTCAGCATTTGACTTTTTCGTCGAAAATGGAATATTTGTTGGAGCTTATTCGACTCGCCTCGAGAGATTTCTTTCGGGCCTTCGGTAGTGTGTTCAGACAGACCAAATTCATCTGGGTTAATTGCAATTTATAATATGGTGTTTATTTTTCTTTTGGGAACCGTTTGCGGTTATTGCATAACACCGTGTAATATACGTGCCGGTATAGGACGCAAATACATTATAAAAAGCTATAGTGCCTACAGAGTACAGACGATATATTACACGGTTTTTACTGGTGTCGTTAAAGTTGCACACGTTCGTTTTTGGTATGCAGTTTAAGACGTTTTTAACGGTCCATGTTATTATACATGCGTCGAGTGCTGTTTAAGTATGTTCTGCACGTTCGTCGGCATACCGGTCATGTTTTTATTGTCGCCGACTTTGAGAAAAATAAACGCCGTAACGACACACCGGGCCCGTTTGTGGTTAATTGTGTTTGACAATCTGACTGGGAAAGACAATGATAATAATTATTCGACCACTCGGCGCAAAAGCGGCGGCTAGCGCGTGAAACGGATTGAAAATCACACACTCTGTTAGCAACATTGAGCTCGAAAATATTAAAAACAACCCTTTAAACTCGAGGTGCAGCGTTAAAAAAATTGTTTGTTTCATACAATATTCGTTGTACTACAATTTTAAGAAAAGTCTATCTCGAAAAGAGTTAATAATTATTACAGTGTATTCTATACAGTTTTAGGGTATTATAAGTAGGCTTGGTAAGGTTAGATTATGCGTACAAATGGGTTGAGCTGTAACATGGTTCTTATTAAAGTTTAAAGAAATTAGATAAATCATACGCAACAAAAAAACTCATATCAACAGGTTGGTTCAATGTGTCATTAAACGAATAAGATAAAACTAATAATTATTATTTTTATTTATAAACTCTTAACCGTGCCGCGTAATAATATCATTTTGTATTCAAACTAAGTTTCTGGAAATAAATTAAGAACTGACTCCTTCCTAATAATAAATGTTCTGGTGTCAAGACCCCATAAAAATGTTAAATTCAAAAGGTCATAAACAAGAATGATTAAAATGAGCAAAACACCATAAGTAATTATAATTATAATTGTTGAACGGCACGCGAACTACGTTATTCATTAATGACCTTAGTGCATTGCGATTAAAATTATACCAGGAAGTTGTTGGATATATTAGTGTTAATATCAAACAAAAATATGAAATTGTTTTTTATTGAAAACACAAATGAATTGTCTGTGCTAAGCAAAACAATTCCAAATGGGTATTGGATAATAACTGCGGAAAATTCAAAACTATACATTTTACTAACCGTAATTAGAATTGAGTAGATGATGGTTCTTTAGCTGAAGCGTTTCATTAATTTAAATCCAACTCGCAATTTATAATTTCGGGTGATTATTGGCATTTTGATTTGTCGTCGTTGCCATTTTAAACAAATAACGTTAATGAAATTATTGACAATGACAACAAACAACAATAGCGTCAATTTGTCGATTAAATTGCGGAAATTGCGAGACAAAGTCGGCAAACGATTAGCAACTTTCTTTTCGAGTTAGCACTATCGTTACGTTAAGACAATGGCTCGGTTAAAACATTTTGAATCCCAATCCCCATGAAAGAGCACCAACAAAGAGGAGGCCGACATAGGCTCATTTGTGTTTAGATCGTTATGATTAAATGAAATATTTCAGCGATCATTTTTAAAAAAAATTTATTATAGCTTTTATTTAAAATATAATAGCTCAACGATTATAAGAATAACATTAATATAGACTAAAATTAAAAAAAAAAAAAAACTATATACATAATTACATAGAAATATAACATAAAATTATTTACTTAAATATGAAACCCAGCATCAAGGATTAATTTGAGGATGGATTGGATGATAGGAACAGAGCGGGAGTTAAGAATAGTATAGGAGTTAGGGTCATTAATACCCAAAGAGGATAGGAGGTTAAAAAGGATACCTCTATGGGGAGAGAGAGTGGGACAATGAAAAAGGAGATGAGAAAAATCACAAATGGCTGGTAGATCATGCGAGGTACAATGAGGAGAGGAGTTCAAGGAGATGAAAAACGAGAAAGCGGGAAGAAGGTTGTGTCCAAATCTTAAACGGGAAAAGGAAGAAATTTCTTTACGTGAGAGATTGAGGCCATGAAACCAAGGCCTGCGAGGGATGATAGGGCAGATTGAGCGATGCCAAGTGGAAAAGTTAGGAGGTAGGGAGGACCATTTGTCCTGCCAAGCTTTCAGCGGTCATTTAGGCGGCAGTATTTTTATTTTGGTACTTATAGTTTGTAAACGATTTTTCTAGGAGACAACGGGGAAATGTTGTTGCAAACAATCAGGTGAACGGACCACGATGGACGACCCACCCGTCGAACCGTCGGTGCGGAAGAGCAGCAGCAGTAGTAGCACAAGCAGCGGCAGCTCTATAAGTGACGACAACGACGTAGGGGCCAGCAGACTGGGCGGAGGCAGCCAGTTGAAAGCGTCTGACTCGGACATCCACACCGACCGGGACTACTGTTCGTCGGACGAGAGCGGCGGATTCGGAGGTCCGGATTCGCCATCCGGGCTGAAGCGTGCCGGTTCGGTGTACGACTTCCGGTCCGACGGCACGGACAGCCCTCCGCCGTGCAGCCTGTTCAATGGCGAGACCGAGCTGACCAAAGTAGCTCGCAAACGGTTGCGCATGGTTCGCGAGGTAGACGTGGCTGTCTGCCACCTCAACCACACCAACACCATCATCAGCAAGATACTCAGCTCGAAATACTTGCGTCGCTGGGAGAATCATCTCGTTCGCATACAAGACGACTGCGTGTCATCCAACACGGTAAGTGGCAAATTCATATTATTAGATGACGATAATATTATGGTACTAATCAGTGGCGTAGTTATGATTTTGTTCTAGGAGGGGGGGGGGTAGTTGAATTTTTGAGTAAACGTAAAGTGGGGGGCAACGACCCCCACACCCCTTATTCAAATTTACATTTTTTTTAATATACTTCTGTACACAGTTAAATATTTTATAATATAAAATACATTGAACATTTGAAACAAATTAACTTTATTAGAGGGGTCATAATTTATTTATAAAATTAGATCTATTTTTCTAGGTTTTTTGGCTAGCTCATCTATTATTTCCTCAGTATCTAGTTCTATATTTTTATGAACTGCCAGCATATAGCTAATCCATTCAATCTATCCTGTTTTAAAAGAAATAATAGTTAATTATTATTAAAATGTATTGACAATTATTTAATCACAATGCATAAAATGTTAGCATTTTTTGTTCTTACTTCACACACGGTGTTTCTCAAATATATCTTTACTCTTTTTAGAATGGAAAACATCCGCTCAGGTGTGGTGGTTGATACTGTCAATGTGCATACATTTTTTATAATTTTAAATAAATTGGGAAACATTTGATCATCACACTCAGTTAGAGCTTGAAGAGCTGATTTCGGAACTGTATGATAGGTACAATGTGAAAACCAAGATAAGGACTTGGTAGGTTAAAGGTATTATGTTTTTATTTTACTTGTATCATAACATAAAAAAAAGGCGCTTGGGGGATATATCCCTATCACCCCCCCCCCCATAACTACGCCACTGGTACTAATGATAGACAACGGTGGGGAAAGTGTACGAATTTTCAAGAAGTTAGCCTGAATATGTTTTTTATGGTACTAGCAGGCGTCCGAGGGTAGGTATGTGCATTAAAAAGCATTATGAAAAATCCTTTTAAAAATACCTTTTTCGCTTCCGCATCGAAGCCAACAGTAGTACTCTATAGGCGCTTAGTTCAATAGAGTGTAGCACGTGAGTCTGTACAGTTAATGAAAATTGTTTTAAAATAGCGTCTTACAATTTATCAATTAAATCCCAATTTCAAGCTCTTACATGATTTATCATGAAAATAGAAATTCCTTGTTATTGATTTTGCTTACTTCATTCCGGCTCCACCGTTGCTTTCTTCATCGCCGGAACTAGGAAGCCAGCCAAACTTCCGAATCAATTATTATCAACGTTAGCGAGTAATTTTAGATGGAAAACTGTATTACTGAAATTAAGTAGTTAAACTAATAGCAGATCGAAACCAGATTTGTGCATCATTCGAATAACTTTTAAAAATATTATTTAAATAGTTTGTAAGTGTTTTTTCAAGTAATTATATTTTAAAACATTATTTCGTATAAATCGAATATAAGCTACATTTAGAAAATATAAAAAAAACAGTATATTATATAAGAAGACAATTTTTTATTCGAATAAATTGTGGAAAAAATATTCAAATAATGTTTTATTCGAATAAGAATTTGCACAACTTTGATCGGATCAAAGAAGTCGACTATAGAGGGTGATTTGGGTCAAGTTCATCATGGAGGTCGGCAGGAATGTACCTAGAATCCTTCATTTCTTTATTTTCCGGAGATATATAATTATAACTTAATTATTCTTATTAGGTTAATGTTAGTGTGAACACTAATTAATAGACAGTAATTATGGCTGAACATTATTTGTTTCATTCGATTTAGTGTTAAAGGCAAAGTTTTTTTTAATAATATAATGATCTAACAAAAACAATAACTGTGAAATTTCATTGTTTTTGTTGGTTATTCCTAACATGGTAATAACCAGAGTACACATAGATCATAGGCCTTGACACAAGCAGTGTAGACTGCGTTTTGTAGTACCTGCGGGTCCCTTCATCCTGAGACAGCCTTATTCTCACAAACTAATCGTCGATGCCTATTTGATTTTTATTGAATAAGACATAGGTGAAGGACTAAAGTACTATTGTTTTTTATCAGGTGACTAGGTAACCAATTGAATTTAGTTATTCAAATTATGTATTTTTTTTATATAAAATGTACCTACGCTGCCAATAAAAAAATTGTTTGTTGATAAAAAAAAATACAAACAAAAATGTTAGTACTTATTATTTCAGTGAGATCCGTATACATGGTAAATTCCAAGTACCTACTCGTAATTAAAATGGTCTGAGAGTATTATACATTCAGCATACACAACTAGCACTCGAAATTGTTGGTAAGCAGACTAATGAAGTTTTCAGCTTCGCGTGATAAATATTTATTTTCATTTTCTATAAGGTATTCTTTTAAGACGTCCGTGGTCTTGGACGGAATTGTAATTTTTCGCCAACACAATATAAACGTTTGAATATTTATTCTCGCGCCTGAGCTATAAAAAAAAAAAACATCTAAAAATAACAAAATATATACATATGTACATTGTACTTAAATTATACATAATGTCAAGTATAATTTATATAAACAATAAGACTGTCACTGAATATAAATGCACGGGCAATACGTTTGCCAATATTGACAAACAAACAAAATACAAACGAGCAGAAAGAGTTCATCGATTTAGAACAACTCCTATTTCAATTGATCGCTTTCCGGTTGCCATGATTATCCACGGACGGTTTCGCTTATCTGTCAAATGAAATTTAAATTTACTCTCGAAAGGTCATTAAGTTGAACATTTTTGACGTATGATTTGCGTGACAGCGTTCATACTACATTACACATTTTTATAAAAAGTTGCAGTTTATTTAATTGAACCGGTTCTGTGCAAGGTTTTTTTCTGTCGGGAACCCTTTGAATCTAAAAATATTGTCTTTTAATGTTGGGGAGTCCATTAAACTTTTAATGTAATATAGCCTATAGGCAAAGTTTAAATAACAATATTAATTAAATAATGGTCAGCTTCCAATATATCAGTTTTCATAAACGACCGTATTTAGAATTTAGATTTGAAAAATATGAGCAAGCTAATACAACTAAAGATCAAAATATTTTTTAACTTTTTCATAGTTCTTTAATCAGTTTGAAGAGTCATTCAGATTCATCTCTAATCTCTTCTTTTCATTTATGTAATGGTGATTTATGATCTATGCCATTGATCTCCTCGCAGTTACCCAGTATTCTTATGTCCTCTATAGGTAGCATATCACCTTATTTTTGAACTTTTTAATGGGTAAATATTTTTGAAATCCTCTATTGCCAGAAAAGTTATCTACTTTAACTTTTGCTGTTTGTAATTAGGTGCTGGCTTATTTTTTTAAGACAGAACAAGAATTAAGGGGATAGAAAGTGGTCTGTTTTTGACGTTTTAGACTAAAAGTCTGACAACATTTCTACTAATTAGGACGGTCCAATTTCAATTCTGTAAAGATATACGATTTCTTTGGATATTTTACTAGGTTATGCAGGAAACGGATTTTTTTTAAATAGTTAATATGCAAATTAATCTGTATATTATATTTATTAATACTTATTTATTTTAATTAATAAGTATTATTAAATATATTATACACAGTGTATATTAAGTCTAGCTTAATTTTTGTCTTGCATCTACATAAAAAACCGTGCATATATAAAATACAAGCTATAACCGACTCTGTTCAGCTGATAGTGTTGGCGCAATAATGTTATCTGTTTTTAATTCGATTAACGAGTTTGTATTGTTTAATATTGTTTATCAGCTGCAACAAAATAACTAAAGTAGAACGATTAATGCTATAAATATAGTAAATAAATGTTTTAAAATGAATCATACCATAAAATTAAAGTGTATTGGGCAATTAAAAACGCTGTCAATGGATACGACGTCAATGAAAACTGTTTACCCCGATAAACTGACTGTCCGCCTAGAAGGTCTAAGCTTATCATTGTACTAAGTACGACTGTACAATATGTTATATTATAATATACAAAAAATCTATAAAATATACTTTTTATATTATAGAGTACAAAATAGAATTATATTTGCTAACTCGTACCTTAGATCGTTAATGATCCAAGACCCATGTACAATCAACACATAACTGTAAAAATGTTGTGTTATCAGTAATGTCAGTTTTAACGGCCAATAACTATATGGCTAGTGGTTGAAACAAAAATTGAAGAATTGAAGCACCCGCTTCGTAACTGGTACGCCTTTTGTTTGGCGTTGTCTCGAATAAAATAATTTAATGTTATTTCTTACTTACCTTTCCGGTGAACTTTGTTGTCGACTTTAACGGCTCTATAGTTTTTGTTTGAACTAAAACGGAAAAAATATTATGCTCGTTTATTATAGACCGTGACCGCGCGTATTAAAAGCGGACTATTTTATAATATGAATACAAAAGATAATTTTCCAGCTGTTAAAAATGATATACGTATCAAATATCAACTACTAGAGCAGCGCTAGCATCAGCTCGCGGTCGTCCTAACCGGTCGACAACAATTCTGCAATTGAACTTTATCTTTTCAAATGATTTATTTAGTTTTTTAACGTTACTGCCTTCGCTACTACAGTGTTATTTTGGCTAATTTTAACCGCCATCCCGCGACGGTCCTATAAATAAAAAGCCGAAAACACATTTGATATTGGACGGCGATTCAAGGTTATTTGCTGACACTCGCTGGGTTTAACAGATTTGTTCATAGTATAGAGTTAACTATATAAGGTCATTCCGTTCAAAACCACCACTGTAGTAATTTATGTCACTCATTAGAAATTGTACTAAAACGTTGGATGTTTTCATCATAAACACTACAGTAAATGTGTTTGCACAATTATGGCTTTCTAATTAAATTTTTTATGCGTTCTAGTAGGGTATAAAAATCATGTTTTTACATATTTTACGGTTATACGAGTTGTAGAATTTTATTCATGTTTACATTTTTTGCTGTCCCAAAAATAATATTCCGTCATCAGTTCCGTCTAAAATAATATTAATAATAATATTTCTTTATTACGGAAATAAATTCCAGTTACAAAATAACTTTTTTTTTCATACATATAAAGATTCATTATCAGTAATTTAAATGTAATAAAATAATAATAATAAAGTATCAATAATACTTACTTGTAAGGTATCAATATCATACAATAAATCTAAATGTATAAAAGGAAAAACAAAATAAATAATAAAACAAATTCTAGTTATTCGTTATGTATTTCTTAAGAGTATAATATATTATATTGGTGATTTTTATTGGAAGTGTGAGAAAAAGTTAATTTATAAGATTGAAATAAAGAATCAAGAATTGGAAAAAACAACCTTATCATCATGTATTTCAAGACCAAATTATGTAGACGAATAAACAATTTTTTTGTATGTAAAAAAATGATTTAAAAGAAAAAATCGTACTTGTTCTAAAGCAGCAATATCTTACTTTTAATACAGTTGTGTACATGAGGAATGACCGTATGCATACTTTTTGCGCATTTTATTTAGATTTTAAACATACTCTGAAACTGAAATGAGTAATGTAAAATTGCAATTTCACAGACGCTGGAAAATTAGTTATCTGTTTTTTAATCATTAAGTGTAAAAATATTATTATATAATTATATATTTTTTGAAAGAAACTACACCATAAAATATTGACTAATGCCAATTTTCTATTATATTTCATTAGAAAGTCATCAACTGTAATTAGTCTTTAGGAACATATACGATTTTAAACGAACCTTAACTACAAAAAGTTTACTTTCTCACAAATATTATTTTTTTAACTATTATATATATTATTATATAATATATTTTTAGCTATATTATATATTATAGTTGTCTATAATTTTTTGGTTACTTTACAGTTTAATTTTAAATAACTTAATATCAGATGTGTTAAATATAAGTGTATTTATTTTTGTGAAAAGCGAATTGTGCTGGTTGTTTTGATAAAACCAACAACTTGTTCCGTTCATGTTATGAATGTTATAAGCCAAACATTCACGTCTTCACTAAAATAAAAAGTTACAACCAGTTTTTTCATTGGTAAATTAAAACTATACTAATTAAAAAATGCCTTTCATAAATGAGCTAAATATGAGCACACCTTTTTGTTTCATTATAACATTTTTCAAGGATAGCATTTAATCTAATAACATGTAACAAAATACACGTCGACAGAATAAAGTCAGCATAAATTATAATAAAAAGATTACATTTAAATAATTATTAAATATATTATTAAAATCAACTATTTAAATAGTTTTAAATATAACTAATTAGTTATTATTTATTTATTTTAATTTTAAATAACATTTACAATCTGTACATATACAATAGGCAAATATGCTAACAAAGTAAATAAATTACTGGGAGACTATGAGTAGGGAAACTATCCAGTGATAGGACCCTTATTACTAATTAGTTAAAAAACGTTTTGTTTTAATTTTTTTTATATATATTATACATATTTTGTAAAATTCCAACACAGTTGGGTGTGTTCAATTTGAAACATAAAACGCACCTTGAAATGTAAAATAAGAACAGGCAAATTTCTAAAAATATGCAATACATTTTAGAAATGTTCTATTTATATTTAATAACTCAGCATAAAATTAGAATAAGTTTCATATAAAAGCTCTTACGCGTTACACATGACGTAAAGTTGTCTTAATTATATTTTTTTAGTAGTTATTGTGCTCATTTTAGTATCAATGAACGAATAAAGTTTCTACTGGTATTGAAAGGTCACTGCAAAGTGTTTGTAATTTGTACGCCACTGGTGTAATAAAAGAAAATATACAACAGTCAAATTCAAATATATTATTACTATTGTCTTAATATTCAATACATTTTAAAATGTATACATTTTTAATAGATGTAACAATGTATTGTTTTCCAAATCACATTGCCTGTTACTGGTTTTAATTGAAATCACTCGCCACAATAATCAATTTTGAAAGTACACACATTACAAAAGTAATGAAGCAAGCATATAAAATCTGATTTATTTTGTATTATGTCGTTGATAAATAGGCGAAAGACTGCGTTTAATAAAAGGTGGAATAATTTATACGATTGCAGCGCAAATAGAAATGTCAAATCATTGTCTCGTTTATTTTGTGATGTAGTACCGAACTTCAAAAAGACTAATACATACATCGAAATTGATTAAACGTTCGAATTGGTTAAGGCAAATCGCAGGGTTTCACGCCACCATGTAAATGGGAACTAATGATGGATGGATTTAATATTTATTTGAATGTCAGCCGATTAGAATCATACTTTGTACCTGTAAAACTAAAGTAATTGTTAGTGAATTCATTAAAAAACAATTGTAATTATTGTTATTGTACATGTTTGAATATTTTGTTTCATATTTATATACAATGTTGAATACAACATAATTATAAATATTTTTTTTTTTAGCCGACCGGATTTCTAGCCAAATGCATAGGATACGAAGCCATAAAGGATTTGTACCCGGTGAAGAGGTGGGATTCGAACTTCAGGTACTGCCTTCGAGTTGTTGTCACCAACGGGTCGTATTTGCTTCAGGTAAATTTTTTTTTTTTTTACATTATAACAATACTATCTGGTTTTCCTTTAAAATATTTTTCTTGCTTTCTCCGTGCGACACTAGTAGTTTTGCCATAGTAGCGTACACGCTATTAGTTTGCATAACCCAAACGCCGTCTAATGAATGTTTTTGCTTAATTGTTTACAGACTACCACTCAACATCTGAGAGATCAAATTCTTTACTCCATTTTGTGGAAGGTTAGTGTTTAATCTATTCTACCATACGATATTGTATATTATTTCTATAAAGTGTATGTTATTTGTTTGTACAGAAAAACGTTTATGATTATCAAGCACTGTTAAAAGGCCTCACCGACCCGGAGGACATGTTAAAAGAATTACATGTAAATATGACTTTTTTATAATAGCATTCCGTAAGCGTCAAATTTTTAAAAAGCCATTTGGTACATTCTTCTACCCTAAAAACTTTTAAGTGGAGGACATATTATGTATGTTGTATGGAGGAGTGTGAAATGATAAGTGGAAACCACAAAGATGACTGACTTCAAATGTATAGGGTATGCCGTATGGTATGTCGAAAAACGTTATTGACAGTATTTAAAAAATGAAATTTAACATAGATCCAAAATCCAGCGCAGTACGATGTTTCTTAATTTGGTATAAGATAATCACTAAGTTAGAAAGTGATTTAAATACTGTCAAATCAGTACAGCATAAATCTAGTGCACTGTGAAGTACACATATAAGCCGATCACAATATATACATCGTTTGACAGTGATTTAATTACATTTAAAATTAGTGTCTGTCTCGACCCCCATTTGGGGTCATATCAGCACAGAAAAAATATATTCGACAGGTACTCTAGTACCTGAGCATTCGTCTAACTTTTTTTCTATGAATTAAAAACTTCAGTAGAAAACATTTGACTTTTATGTTGTTTTTTTTTCTGTTTGAATTTAGAATTTAGTTGAATTTGCTAGAGACATTCCGTTGATCGACGATGAAATATTTCACGTGCCTTGTTACATTGTACACACGATTGTAACGCAAGTACGTCTTGACTAAATGGTTTATTGAAGATATATAAAACTAATGAAAATGTGACCTTTTTTGTGTATTCAGTTTTTACCCGAGTTCAAGGTCCAAGATCAGGACAGGTACTATCAGCAACCGTGGGAAGAAGACATGATCAGCACCGTAGGCCCTTTGATCGAAGATAGTCCCCCGTCCGCCGAAATGTGTTCGTTTTTATCGCACCACTGCAAAGACCAGCGTAGGCTGCCCGTCATAAAAGATTCGCTGTCCTATACTATTACTAGAATACTAAAACATAATTTCGTAAGTATCCATTTAAGTGTTATTTACAAATACATTTGTTATTGATACTCGTTAGCATAAGCATAAGCACACTTGAACGACCCAAACCGAGATAATATATATTTATTTAGGACGTAATTTTTCCTGTTAACGAATCAACATTATCCTCTTACGACACCGAATGGCCTATACGATTTTCCCATAAGTTGTCTTAAGGGGTCAGTATAGAAAGTCTTATCGGATCAACTAGGGTTGCCGTTTAAGTATTTTGGGAGTTGGTGCTTTGTTCCTAGGCACCGAACCATAGGGAACCGTATTTATCCCTACAATGCTGGGAGTAGAATTGGGGTTTCATGTGAAATGCCTAAACGAGAGAAGGGAACACAAAATGTAACCTACCGTGCTCATCTAAAGAAGCTCTAGATCAGAAAACCTACAGGATGATCATCGGGCCTCTATATTATGGTATCCTTGGAGAATTTGTCATTCTTGTATAGGAATTCTTAGTTAAATTAAAACAAAATCAAAACAACGCATCAAGCAAATCAATTTTTTTCGAGTTTTAATGTAAGCTTACTCCACATGCCTCCGTTAATAATACTTTTGTAAAATCTACCTTCGCTTTTAATTTGATCTCTGATCTTATTCTCTATTCCATAGTTAATTTTATTTCGTTCTCTAAACAACACCAGGATATCTTGACCGGGTTTCTCTTGTTAATTTATTAATGCATCGTTATACAATTTGAGGTCATGGTTAAATAGGTTATAACTCCGCTCAATCTGAAATCGATTTAGGTTAAAACGGTTACATATTAACCAAACATGAACATAGACTTATTTTGTTTATTTTAGTTGTTCTACTTTAGCCTTCGACAATTTTGTATTTCACTCCATTTAAGTCACAATTAATGAAAGTTGGGATATGAAAACTCATGACATTTATTTACATACATTACTATATAATTGTTAATATTTTATTAGGACTTTGCAAGGACGTTAACGGCTCGAACTCTGGTCCAAGATTATATCAAAGCTCTATACATCGATGACCAAAAAGGCGAAGTTATTAAATTGTTTTTATCAAGGTAATATTATAAAATATATTAGGTACAGCAACATACATATATTATTATGCTTATGTATTTTTTTTGTTTGTTTGCTTATAAAAATACATTTTTATTAATTTTCCAGAGTCCACAGTGCTAGCGCTGTGTGTCCCCATAACAGGGTACTACCGAATCTAGTGTCCATTTGCATTACTGCCATATTCTCTGCTTCAGAAGAGTTGCCAGCTAATAGCACAGAAGCCGAATTCAATATTTTTTACACCAATCACTTGAGATGCTACATTGTTGTTCTTCAAAACATGTATGACGAACAAATTTTATTATAAACAATAGAACTATTATAATTTAAATATCTAACATTTTTAGATATTTTTTATTACAAAGCCAACAAGTACAAATACATTTATATTAAATTATTTTTTGTCAACAGATCAGAATACAGCGATTGGCTATACGGACTTGCTCAATTGTTGCGCCCGTTGCCGTTTCCCGTTTTGCTGTTAATTCGTTCAGTTTTTATGGAGTGAGTACAACATGTTACTTTAGAAAATCATTTTATTAATACCTATAATCGGATTGTATTATTTGTGTCGTAATTTGTAGTAACTATACAATAAATGTAAGTTATTATACCTTACCTTTGGAAAGGTTAGAAAGCGAACGCTGCGCTGTATTGATTATCTATTTTATTGGTTTTTTAAACTTTTCGGTGTTATCCATGTTGGTTATATTTAAGTAGAAATACAAATTTCGCTGAAAACGTTTGATAATCATTATTAAAAGATAGGTACTCTTAAAAGTTTACGACCTTTCAGTTGATTACTTTTTCACTTTTGCCTATAAAAACAGCGTCAATAATTTACTTAATAACTTAATAATTGAACATAAAAACCTTATAGTGCAATTTTTATGTATGTAATTGATGTAATATATTTTGAATGGAAAGAATACCAATATAATTTCGGAATACTTTCCTGTTGATTTATTTAATGTGTTATATTCAAAGCAGACGTTTTACCTATAATAGTTATACCAATATCAAATACAATATTGTGTGTTATAAAAACCGTGCCCTAGATTTACCCGTTTATTACCATTAATATTAACAAAAATAAATGAAAACTGTGTAAATTAGCCACTTTTTGTCGACATAAAATAACAATTGCCAAAATGTATGACATCGCCATCCCGGACACTTAAACTGCCGGATGGGAATTCATGAGAAACATTTAATATATATTGTCTCCCATATTGTTTCACGTTGACAGCTTATGAAAATCAGACTGCGTGCTACTTTAACGCAAATTAAACTAACCATTGTTGTTTTGTGTGTTTTTTAGGGACATGTCCTCTGTGATATTAAAAATAGGATTGCACGAAAATTGTAATATTCACAAACAAGTATTGGCTGTCCGCGAAACAAAAGACGGCTGGTTCGACTTGTGTTCCCCACTTGGAGCTGTGTTCGGCGGAAGTTCATACGTCTGGACTGAACTGGTACAACCCAATATAATTAGTGTACAATTTATCAAACTATACAGTATTTGATTAGTGGTTTTACAGAAAACTCTAGAAGCCTCTTCGAAAAATTAGATTTTTACTTTAATTTGTCGTCCATTGTCCGCGAAAAAGCCGTCCTATCTCTGTGACGCATAAATAATTATCTATAGCTTCAATTTAGCTTGGACTACTTCTGTAGCTCAATCCATGTCTTATAGTAAGCATAGGTTTTTTTTTAAATCGAATGAAGACAAACGTGTTACAATATAATCATACTACAGCATAGCTTCTGCGTCTGAGCCGAATATGAATATAATAAGTATACGATTTTTGTCAGTGGTGTATCCAACAGCATATCCGTAAAAAATCGACCATATCTTTTGCTATTGTAATTGGTACCGTTAAAAAAAATTTTAAAAATGATACATGACATTATTAGGATTTGTGTCGATAAGATAATGGAGTTTATTGTTATTTTCGACGACTACATCGTCGTTGTATCTGTCAAATATAGAGTTCTGAACTCTATTCATAGTTAACGGACACAATAATAATGTACACCGATTTACATATGTATTTCAATTGTCGTTCTAGCTTAAGACCTTGATGGACTGTGAACGTTGCAAGAAAAAGAAGTTGCTGAAAAATCTCAAAGCCAAGCACTTGGGTACCTGCGTTTCAGAAGCCCTGAAAAACAATAAGATTGTAATGGACGTGCTATGCTTGATGCTCGAGTGGATGGTCGTGGACGACGTACAACAAAGACAACAGATCGTCGACACGCTCAAGTCCACAGAGTTTGGTCGTCAAGTCTATGACGATTACATGTTAAGGCAAAGTCAGTTACACGATTTGGTAAGAACAAATTGAATGATCTACGTTTATCAACCTTATAGTGCTGGATGACACTCTGATTTATATAAATCGGCATTGTAATAAACTACACGTAAAAAATGCTTATTTAAATCATTCGTCGACTTGATTTAAGTTAATATAATCAAACCACTAGTTTTTCCATCTTTTCACAACCTAACCTAGTTGTATACGATTTTCTGATGTGTTCTCATGTTTTTCCCTGTCAAGTATTTTAAAATGAATCTGAATCATGTGATTTGTCGATTACAGCAAAGAAAAGGAGGTCCGCAAAAACTGGATTTACCCTACCGCGGTACAGACTTGGATCTCAGTGCCATTTTCGGTTGCGGTCCGTTTGGAAATTTGGAATCGATCAACTTGTCATTTACCAACGTGACGGATACATGCGCCAAAACATTGATAAAATTGCCTTCGCTGAAGCTTCTTAACTTGTGGGGCACTCAAGTGCGTTGTTTTTAATTTTTCACATTCACAATAATTACAATACCTTAGATAATATTAATATTTAATTATGATAACGCTATTTAGTTTGGAGATTTCGGACTGCTGATAATTGCGGATCATCTGACGAATCTGCAAGTGTTGAACTTATGCGAGACAAAAGTAACCGACAGAGGAATCGTTTCGTTGATAAGTAAGTCGAAACAGATTTATAGAACTTTAATGCTATACATTAAATTTTGTTGGTTTACCTTGCAGGCTTAGTCAATTTGAAAAAACTTAACTTGAACAGCACTCGGGCGACGGTTAGGTCAGTAGACGTTTTGAAAAAGAAAATACCCGGTCTCCACGAGGTAGACGTCAGATACACGGACGCATGGTAGATAATACTTTTTTTGTTACAATGTGTTCAGCGTCAATATTCTATTGTTTTACATTCTAGTTTTGTTGACAATCCGATTGATAATATATTATAATAATTTACACGTATCCTTGTAAATGGAAAACCCCAAACGTTCATAATAACAATATTATTAATAAAATACAAATAATATACTTGAAGAATATATGGATATTATCGATGGCTTTGCGCGCAAGTGTGGCGCGTGACATTTTTACCTTCACTTAGGTTCCATTATAATATTATATTAATTTGTTAAATTGTACACCGTGTGTTGGTATACCTGTAAAAAGACAAAAATAAAGTTCCATTATCGCAAGATCACGCCTGCGCGCTTTGCCCCTAAGCGAAAGTGCATCGTTTACCTTATTAAAATATTATTATGTAAAATAAAAGACTGTGTCTTGTATTCGTTTTATATATCATTTTTACTTTTATTACCTTCATTATTTTACTACTAATAACGATATAATTTTTTTAACTAGGTCATGAATTGTACATTATATGTGATAAATGATAATGCGAGGAGTTAATATAGTCGGTAGATAATATGATTCCACACGTTCTAAACATATAAGGAAATCATTTTTAAGGGGAAAAAGCCGTTTCGTTTAATACGATTATATATAATAATGTATAATGTAATAATATTAAGTAAAATGCTTTTAATACGACACGTAAAATTTTTTTAAATTAGTAATCTATAAGTCGTATATTATCACAGTGTGGAATTCAAATTTTATAAATGCCTTTTGTTCCAATTAAATTGCCAAAAAAATAAAGATAAGTGTTACTCGCCCTATGCAACTATAAACGATTAAAATATTATAATATATTATTATTATAGAAACGCTCAATATTAAAAATTTTTTTTATTACGATTTTAATCTTTTAAATAATTAATAATATTAATATAATTATTATTAGAGAGTCAATTACACAGATTGATTTGTGTAATTTTCGTTTGAACGTTTTGTTATTTATTGTCTTTTTCGAAAACGTTTTAAGTATAATCGTTTTACTTGTTATGTTATTATTCAGTGTACTCAGCTTAAACAACTTGTGTAATTTTAACGAATTTCAATGATCAATATTCTCTGAGCTAGTGTGGTTTGTTATTGCTATAATTGGTTCTTTGATATATATATATATATATATTTTTGTTCTCTTTCAGTAAGTTAGGTTATCATCATAATAGTATTATGTATAAATAAAAAAATATGTTTGCACGCATTTTTAATACATTATTATCATTTTGTGAAACATTAAGTCCAACGAAAAAAAAACAATATAAAGGGTACGAAACGTAAGGGTAAAGACTTATATTTTATCTAACAAAAACGAATCTAGCAAAATTTCGGGTAATAGTCAATAATCGAATAAAAAAAGTATATTTAAAAAACAAAAACGTATAGATTGTCTCTGTCCTAAATAAAAACAAAATTAAAATGCCATTTCAAAGTAGGTGAAATAATAATTTTGGTATAATGTACAATAACAATATTATAATCTTTATAAATAATTATTATAATATATTATTATACTATTACAGGTTGTAATGGAACATTTGAAATAAATTATAATTCCTTTATATTCGTAATTAATTAGTAGTACACGTGCGTTACGCCGGAACAAAGATTTTAATATGATGTAAATTAAATTGACTTATATGTTAAGTGCTAAACTAATTAGTACATATCGCTATGTTATTTTTTGTCTTCTTTAATGTATTATTTTTTTCGTTTTTGTATACTTAATCATACCTCGACGGATAGAATATAAGTGTAAACATTAAATCAGTTGGTATATACATATAATAACTATTATACAAATAAATTGCCTCATGGATTTTGACACGCTGTTTTTTATTTCTGTTTTTATTTTGCCTTAACCTAACTAGAAACGCTGTTGTTTAAAAATCGCCTCTAAAAATTATTCTGAAACCATGTTAACAATTTAGAAAATATTATAATATGAAAAAGTGAGGTACATTAATTGTCATTACTGTGTATTTAATCGAATATTTAACCGAAGAAAGAGCTCGTTGAAACAGCGACTCTTACCTGTCTAGCAAAACAATAGACATCTTTATCATTGGTATTCTATGAGTTCAAATCCGGATTATAAATGTCCTAAAATACAAATGTTTAAATCTAAAAATATCTTTAAAAATAATGTGCAGGTAAGACATTTTCAAATTCGTCTGATAAACTTCAATGGAAAAATTCTTTTATATACAATTTTATAGCTTGGGAGATAATAATCGTGTTCAAATTTGCTAGTACGGTTTGCAATTCCTACAACTAAGGACTTAAAAATTGTTTGATTAAACATTTTTGAAAGCATCAAATTAATTTAGTTTAGTTTATATGAATGATTACATTACCGAAGAAAGTACAGGTGCACAGGAGAGTGTGAGGTGTAAAAAGCTGAAATAATTTTAAGAAAATTATAAAATTTTGGGTCAATATTTAGGCAGCATACTTTTTTTTTTTTTTGAAAGATTTGGTTTGAAGTATTTTCTCTTACTACGCCACGTCGTTTAAAATTTTATTACTAAACGTTATACTTGGAAGCTACTTGTTGACAAACAGTCTTTTAAATAAGTACAAATTCATCAAAATACATATTTCGTGAAAAACATAGTATAAGAGGAAAACGTGAGTAATCAAAAAACATAAATTAAGTGCTTTTCACTTTTTTTTGTACACGTTTAGGTATTTAAATTGCCTTTTATTGTTAACGGCGTGGCACGAAGTTTGCTTGACTAAATTTAATAATCACATCTCACATGTACCTAACCTGATGTTGTATATTGTAATGATCTCATACCGACAGTATGATCGTTCGACAGTGTGAAACGTTCAAGTAATAATATAATATGTTATAATGACACTTATCAAAATATTATATTCAATTTGCAAGCGCTGAAATATGCGCTGAAAATACTGCTTTTAAAAACGATGAAAAGTCGTTATGATTGGCAATTTTTTAAAACGTTTCTATAACGGTTAATTTCATCATACTCTAACTTTGCATTCGGGAAAAATTAACAGTTAAAAAAATAAACAATATTGTTATTATTACAGTGTGCGTTCCATCGAGTCGCCTTTTGTTAAATATTAACTTTTAATACCGTACTCGGTCCTGTACGGGCATTATACACATTATAATTATCAATTTTTTTTCTTTATTTGTCCAGGCAACGGCAAAATTGTTTTTTCCCATTCTTTTGTGTTCGGTTGAATGCGCCCGTTACGCGCAGCTTCATTGCTCACAAACACACACAGTTGGCGTGTATCGTATTACGTTGTTAGGTCCTTTTGTTGTGGGTGTTCGACCCTTTGTCGTTTATTAGATTGGCAATTTGGTATTTATGTACGGTACACGTTAGCGCGGTCATGATTTTCGACGGTGGAACCCAGAAGAACGGATGGACACAATTTCTGTACAAACCACCATAATATTATACCTACAGTGCGTTACGGGATACAACGCACTCGATATGGGACATTTTTCTTATTTCCAAGTTTTTAGTTTTACCGGATTCTGATCCGGTTAGGTTAGGGAAACGATAAATAAATTATTCCACGGTTGTTCTTGTGAAATTAAAAACAAATCTATTCTTAAACCCACCGCAGAGTACGATTCCATAAAGTGCAACACTATTTTCGATTTAGACTTAAAACAGGTCAACGAGTTTTCGCGATTTTAGTTTTGATTTACAATAGGTACCGTTTTACATTTTTCATTTTGACTAAAAATACCTGTCTACATTTTATTCGGTTTTGATTTTAATCTACGATACCGTTACCTATTACTTTCGATTTCAATTTCTATCTACAAAACAGGGTTGTTTAAAAGTATTTACAGAGGTGTCGAAGGTTTTTTTTTTAAATTTATAATATCGTAATTAATATTTTTACACAGTGTTTGGTTTCCAGTTCGATTTAAACACCATCTGTACTTTTTTTTTCTCGTAAAAGTTACGATTTCAATTTTATAAATACTTTAACCGGCGCGGCGTTAAAAAATAATTTTAACTTTGTTTCAAGCTCTGTATCAAATTCCAGATTGCAGATGGCCGTTGTGGGTACACCGGCAAAAATGCAATGCGGTCTTTGACGTTTGCATGTTGCGTTGTATGATGCGTTGTTGATCGTTAGGTCGTTCTGAAAAATGAATTATTTAAGACGAGTGCGACATCGTGCCGTTCGTGGTTAGGCCATACGACCGGATATTAAACCCCAAAGATGCCTGTGCGTTGTGACAAGCGAGTTCAAAAGAAAACTCGTCTTTGCCGTGACCGTCGTGAGTAATTGTTGCCAATACAACAAATGATTCGCGTCGATCGACAATCGTAGACGTCTGGTAATTTGATCTATTTTTAGATAATATTATCTTTCTTTTATTCGTGCACGGTTTGTCCGATTTCGAGACGGACGAGTAAGCTGTTCCTCTACACAAACACCAAACGTACAGATTGCAGTCTTACGTGACAGTGGAAAACTGCAACACATTTCATCGTAAATATTTTTTTTTTTATAAAAGCATTGTATTGGTAGGTCTCAACATGTATGGCTAATTGCACCGATGGGCGAGAATCAGTGTGCGGTGAGATAAGATTAAATATTTGCATTAAGGCTGAGAAAGTATAATAATATTTATCTTACAACGATGTAATAGGTCTTATGATATTTCGCTTATTCGTAATATAGTTAAAATCGTCACTGAGAAATATAGATTGACGGACTAACTGACGGACGCTTTATTCCTGTTGGCACTTATTTGGTTTGAACCGTGCCAACCTTTGATACGTATTGAAAAGCCCATTTGAGAGTTGCGTTTTAGCAGAAAGGTAAGATGCCTAAATGATGGACAATTTAGTAGTAAACAAGATTTTTTACAAAATTAATCATCTGAGGTTAAGTAATGAAGAAGGACAAGTTAGGACATTTGGATATGCGGTGTTGTGGGGTATAACGCTTGGAATTGTTTAATTTATACTCATTTTCAACCTAACTCAATCTTCGAGTGCTGATCTCCACTACTCCTTAATTTCGTTAACTTCCAATAAGCTTTCATCTATCAATTCTACATAATTTACAACTATCCTACCTCATCGTGTATGCTTTGCAAAGTGACCAAGAAAAACTTAGTTGGCTAACATATTGAATTCTGTAGCATACTTAATTGCCCTATCGTGCACGCATTCCATTCAGTTGGTATACAATTTGTTACTCAAATGTTCTTCAACACAATAGATCTTGTATGAAATATCGACTTATCGCAGAATGAGCTGTTTATGAAGTATATATTATGTCATAACCCTGATCTGGAACCACTGTTTTCTTTTATCCTGAAATCTTCAATGTCTTTACATATATTCTTACATATATTTTTAGGGGGCCATAGGGGAGGTATTCGATTTATTACCAGCGTCACTTTAATCGACGAGCTACCGTTTGCCGACTTTTATTGAACCCTATAACGAAGACGTTATTAATTTTAATGAGTCGTCGTTAAACACATGCGTCAATCAAACTATCGTTGAACGTGGTCGGACTGCATTGGCACAGCTAACGCGTTATGACGTATTACGTATGTCAAAACGCATTTTGATCGGTTTCCGTTAAGCCGTTCGCCGTTGCTGTCCGATCATTAGACTAGAGAAACCAGCGATTGATTATCAAAGAATTCAATCGATCCGTGGAGATCACGAGCCCATTGTTCGTCCTGACGCGAGGGTCGAAATGTCCGTTAATGTGCCAAACAGTTATGTCGGGAAGCCAACATTGGTTGCATCGTCGTCGGCGAATACCTCCTTCGAGTCCTGAGGCGTTTCATCCGGTCGATGGGTCGCCTATCCCGACACGACTACGAAGGTCACCGGTCACATTCCAAGTGTGAGTAACAACAACAATTTACGACCGCTAACCGGTACTCGAGAGTCGTATATGTAATACTTTGGCTGCGTAAGGAGGAGACCCCAATTTTTTTCAGCGCACAAAAAAATAAAGCCAATACAAAAAAGTCAAAATGAGAAATAAATATACCGGTATTCCGGCGTGCATGCATTGTCAATTAAAAAATAAATTTAACGAGACGACCGTCCGGTGTCCAAGCAGACCTCGTTAATAATCGTCGAAATAATACAACCGATCGCTTTCGTATGTACTATGTACATTCGGATTAGGCATCCTATTATATCCAAGGCAGTTATAATTTAATGCGATGCGCGGTGCTAAAAATGTATGGGTTTTTAATGATCTCTTCAATTTTTGTGGCTAAACCTAAGCTAATTTTTGGATAACTGGTCAGATTTGTTTATAAGACCATGTTATACATCGGACATCGTACGCCGGGGAGGTAATTGGTGAAAATCAAGAAAAAGACACTTAAAATGCTCATGTTTTGCAATCTTGAAATATGGCACGCTATAAATTTAATGTCACAAACTCTAACGACGTATTCGGTGCTGTATCTTGGCTAGAATTACCAGTATAAGACACTAATAAAATTGATAAAAGTATAAATAGATAGATTTTTGATTTTTGTTCAATTAAATGTTTCCGATCATAGAATCTGAAACATTTGGATACTTGAGGCTAAAGGTTCTTCCAATCAAGAAAAAGAACAAAACGATCCTGAAAAACTTTTATAATGGTGTTTGGTTAGATCATGATGAACCGTCAGATTAGATGCACTATTTTCATTTAGTATTAGACGAAAATTAATTTAGCTTAATTTCGCCTGATATGCAAGAATAGTAAAAAGTATACCCTACACATTCTTGTTATAGGTTGGTTGTACCTATAACGAGATAAATATAATCAGTAATGAACATATTATGATAACCGAAAATTAGAGTAAAGGGTTGTTAACCACAATTGTTGTCAAAATGTATTTACTTTAAACCTAGCAAATGTGTCTTAGCAAACGCAATAGTTTGCATGGCTTGCAAACGTTTTATAGTTATTTTTATTGAAATTTGATATTTTCATCAGGTCGAAACGTTTTTTTGAGAGTGGTTATTACTTTGAGTTATATTAATGCCTTCTAACGTTTCCTTACTTCCGATCCCATTATGATATTCTGTTCTCACTGTTTTTTTAAATTTGTTTATTAATTACATTTCCGGATTGCTAGCACGTTTCGAGTAGAGACACACGTGCATAATATTAATATTAAACATGTTGTTAAATCATTGGATAATACTGATTTCTCTGAAGAACGCACGTGACTTTCTTTCCACAAACAGCTCTTGGGATTAACACATGATCTATTCACCGTTACTGCGCGGTTATTAGTCACATCAACATCATAGTATAATATCAATTCATCACGGCCGTTCGTACTAATCAAATATTATTGCCTCCGACTTGGCCCACGAATGCAATATTATATTAATTATAATATAATTAAATCCCATTTAAAATATACTGTTTTTCCATTTGACGGCTTAGCACACCATATAGAATATAGGTTGCCGCGATAAAGGCTTTTCAACGTTTTCTATCAAGTGCCAACCAGGTAGTCGTATGTGCACTAACTTAATATATGCTATAGAGCAGTATCCTTTCCGTGTTGTGATCAAATCTTAATACAGGGGGTAGTTCCCGGTCATTTCCATGAATCCGAAATCCCGACATACCAGTAACCCATTTCCGGTATATTGTTTTGGGACGTTCTCGATTTGAAAAAAGTTAGGCTTATTCATCTTGTTACCAATCACAATGTCCGATAGTAACTTCCGATCAATAAAGTTTCTATTTGAGCAAATTAATGTATTATTTACGAACATATGTTTCAAAAATTCCACTTAAATAGTGACGGAAAAGTTTTATAAATGTTTCTGAACGATTTTGAAATTTTCCTGTTCCAATTTTTATCATAATTATTTGAAAATATGCGTAGCAAAATTAAGTATAATAATCACGGTTTTCAAAAAATAATCGAAGGGCACATATGGCCCAATCTCAACGTTGACAGCAGCGCCACTGAAAAAAGTTGTGTTTTTTAAAACACAATTTCAGCGTTATTGATTTTCTTTGTATTGTTGTTATTGTCATTTATTATGTCAACTAATTACCCAAGCTATACCGACAATATGTCGGTGTATTAAAAAATATGTTTAAGGTACATGTCATTAAACACAACTCCTTTATTTCAAACACTGGAACTAGGTCAGTTATATATTTTTAAATGGTTGTTTATCGGTTTGACGGATATAGTATAAAATATTATGAATTATATTCTTAATTTGGAAACTTGATACGTAATCTAGATAATATTACTTATACTTTTGTAAATATACCGGTCAAGCTAAAGCTTTATTTATATTAACCTTATTAAGTTATGTTAGATCAAATTATTTAAATTTAATTTTAACTATCACTATTGGAGTTATATGCTAACGTTCAGTTTAATTTTCAATTAACTTAGTTAGGTTAAGAATTAATTTAAACTTAATAAAATAAAACTATATCTCAATAGTTTTTTTCGAATATTTTGTTTTTAATGTTGGGTTTAAATTGAAATTAATTTCGAACTATAAATATATTACTGAACATTATAAGATGAGTCATGGTACACTGGTTGTGTAACATTATAATCTATACTTACACGTATCATGTCTACCTAGTTACGTGCAAATACTCATAAGAGAAATGGTGAAATGCCAATAACTATAACCGTTAGAAAAATGGAGGTATTGTGCACATTATGTTAATGGTTGGAACCCTATTAAATTTAACATACAATTGAATTAGATGAAACATAAACATATTTTTTCTTCATTCAAAACCCATTGTAGATTTGACGAGAAGCAAAAGTAATTATGAAACTTCCTGTTTGAAAATGATTAGGTAAAATCCTTATGTGTAGCCTTTAATTACTTTTTAAATGCAATTTACAAATATTAGAATATTATATAATAATAGTTTTACATTTTTTCATTTGGTTTAAATAGAAACAAATTCACAATGATTTTACATGGCCATTACTGTAAAAAAATTAATTAAGCTCTTAATTTGTAGATAAATTAATGTGTACATCAATATACTAATATATTTGTATAGGTAATTTATATATACTTAAGACTAGATTTTATAATACCAATAAGCTTAAATAAAGTTCATTTTAGGTTTTGTTTAAAAGAATTCGAGTTTGCTAATAAGTGCGTTTATGATTGAATTATTTTGTGTATACACATAACTGTACATAGCTGTATACAACCTATAGGTAGGTTAAGACGTTAAGGTGAAGAACGAATTACAACACACCCCTATATGAAGGCCGATGACCCTTTATGAAACACCTGCGAGATTCGAGAATGACTCCATTGAAAAAATAATAAGTAATAACATCTGTACGCGTACATACCAAAAAAATGAAATACTAATTTTTTCTGTAACAAAAAAAACTAGTTAATAGTTCTAGTACTAGTTCTTTCTTTCAAAAGTTGGCGGATTTTTGGTTCACACTAAAAAATATTTCATTTAAATTATTTGTAAAAGGAAAAATAAAATAGTTGTTTAATAATACAATCTCGGCTTGAACCTTTATAGGTGCTATATACTTATTTATTTTCTATGTTATTTATTACAATATCTAGGGGTCTTATAGATAAATATTTTGCTATACTAGTGTACTCGCACGTTTGTGTGAAAATTACAGTAATAACTGAGAAATATTAATCGTTTGTTGTATAAATTCAAATCTTATTAGACTAGACGGATGGACAGTTGTCACGGACTGTCTATCTGTATCTATAGCTATATACATGTATATTATGTGTTCTACGTGCATTTGTATATTATGAGTCAAGGTGTGTATACAATATTATTACTCTATTGGCATCGCTGCCGCCGTCGTTAGGTAACGGAGGGGAAAACCGTTTCGAGTTTCACATCACCGTAGAGTCGGTGGCGGCGGCGGCGGCGCACTAGTGTCAGTGACTTCAACGCCCGACGGTTCAGTTTCTGGCTGTCCGAGTAGTGTGTGACGTCAATATACTATAATATTATACACCGCCACACGCCGAGTAAGAGTTTTCGAAAGAAAAAAACTGTCTTGAAGATTCGAAAAATCCGTTTGACATTTTTTTAAATTTTATACAAAGTTTAGCGCTATTTCATTTTTGTTTCCGGTTTCGGTTTATAGCCGGTTCGTTGGTGTTTTTTTTCGCCCCGTTCTGACGGATAAGTGCTTTTTTCGAGTGATACTAATTAAGTGTGTGTGTTTTGTGTGCGCTCGTGTTACGCCCGCGACAATTGATATCGATTGTTCCACACGAAAATGTGATTAAGCCCTGTCACGTGACCGTCCATCATGAGGAGTAAACTAGCAAAAGCCGCCATAGTTTTGTGGCTAGTCGCCATTTTCGTTACAGGTAAGTGCACGGTCTTGTTTTATGATTGTCCAGTTTGTATTTGCTTGTACGTCTACTTTGTCGACGGTCGTCCTGTCGGGTTAAATCCAAGTAAAATTATCGAATGAAAAAAACTACAATCTGATGTAAAAAGAAACGTGAATTTTTTCGAGCAGTCCGTTTTAAATTGTATATTAAGTCGAGGTTACTGGTTCAGTAATTACATTTAATGGTAGTGGTTTTTCAAACAGCGAAGATATCAGTCAATTAATGTATGTCCCTTAGTGGCTTGGTGGCTTCAACGATAACCTAGCTGATATCTTTGACACTTTTCAATCGCAATCTACTTCTACAAGTAGATTCTGAGTGGGAAAATGTTATCAGATTATAGTTTGTAGGTTTAACATAGTTAAATTTTCTCAAAGTCTGGTTTGTAAATTAATGTGGTAAATGTAAATTAATTTTTCTTTATTGAAAAATCAACAATATAATATTGTAACAACCTAACCAAATTAAATCGAACAAAAATTAATTAAAAATTATCATTTTTTTATTTCTATTAAGTATCTTAAAGAAAGTATATTTATTTTTAACTCGTCTTGATGTTGGTTTTAAATTTCATCGCACAGTTCATATAATTTGATTTTTGGTTAAATCATATGTGGCTTTCAGCTCATTCTAATGAAATATCTTCGGAAAGTTCCCTCTTATATTCAAACCAATTCATTAAATTGTGCTACTTGCCAGTTGTCCCTTTTAGTTTGTTAAATTATTAAAATCTAAATGTTCCTTATATAATCCCTAACATTAAAACTTTATCTTCTATAAATACCGCCCAATCATTCTCTCCTTCGTTTTTCATACTTTACCAGATTTACTTGATTTAGTCACTATGTTTTATACTTAGGTTTTTTTTCATAAAAGGGCAAATTGATCTAGTAGTGGGAGAAAACTTGACTTACAAACCTATGTTAACTTTTAGAATTTCGTCGTTGTCGCCTTTTGTAGATTATTGCTTGTTTTGGCTAAGATCGGATAAAAGATTAGCGAAAATTATCCCATCATTTCGTGTGAGTAAAAGGCTATAGGAGGAATGTACAAAAAAAACCAACATAGCATACAATTTTTCTTAGAGACAAGACTATCCGGTAGATCCCCTACAGTATAATATTAGCTATACTATACAGGCAACGGTTGTGCGTTGAACTGTCGGCGATGCACAATCCGCATACGAATGGGTTCGCGTGTGGAAACGATAATTGGAAAATTTCTGATCACCAAAATGATGTGTTAATAATAATTTTTAATATGATAATATGTTTGTTGACATTATACGGCGACGAGACCATGACCCGTGTGTGAGTAAAGATAACAATACTATATTATATATGCGCACACACAGCTTGTGCACAGCTGCACTGCGGTCGTCTTTTGTTCTGGCGCACAGGAGAAAGTGAATTTTATTCATTGTAACCATTATACGATATAGTCATCGAAATTTCCATGCGCTCACGCACATACACACACACCGAGCCGACACGGAACTGGGGCCCTTCCATGTGTATAATATAGCGTTGGTTTACGTAACGTCCTTGGCAGCACAGTTGACGTCAACAACTCCAAAACTAACAGCCCCGTGAAACTAATAAGACGGTAATAGGATGTACACGATCTGTTTCCAACGGAGGTCGTTTGGCTTTCTAGAAAAATATTATGGTCTTCTGTGCCTAATCTCTTTTGCGGTCCGTCGAATCCGACTTAATGTGCATGTACGTGCATCATTACTTACGCCGATTGAAATGCATAGGCACGCCAAGACGGTCATTTACATCTATCCGTGATCGGCGGATCCCTATTGATGCGTTAGCGACTAGAGTTGGACAAATTTTGAATAAGCTAAAATGATGAAGAGCGCAAAAGTGTATAAGTGACTTTTATACAATTTTACATTACGGCAAAACTTGTGTTATAATAATTTCTATTTGTTTTTATGGGCGATGTTCGTTAGTTATCGTCATTATATTATTATCTTTGAAAAATTTATGTAAAATTGCACAGTAGACACAGATGAAAATAGGGTTCATTGAAAATATTCATTGTAAAATTGAAAACTTGTTTTTGAAAAAAAATGTCACCCTTTTGGTTCTCATCTCATGAAATAATACCTTGATAATTCGACAAAAAATATTTCCTAATCGTTTTCAAAATATTTTTACCACAGGATCATTCACTCGCAATTATAATTGGTCTAATATTTTGAGTATTTATTGTAAATATTAGAAAAAGTATATTAGCATAATTTTGGCTCTCTAAGTTCATTTTTGTGTGTATTATGAATCATTTTATACTTGTCGTTTTTTCACGTCTAAAGTCTTCATTGTAGTACGATTTGTAAAATAATTTTTAATAATATTATACATTTTTTTAAGCCAATTATAAACAATAATAATTCGATTATGAACCCAGCCTTAGACGTTTAGGAGAGATAACTATATTTGTCTAGCCTAATATAAAAATGACCATAGATTTTATCTAAATGGAGGCAATAGACAATATTTAGATAAATTATAGATTATTTTTATCTAACATTTTAGTGTATACTGTTTGTAATGTTAATACCAATCAACTGATCGGATCACTGTATCCCTGTGGTATGAAAAATGATATCGTAGGTAGATCTATTGATAACTATTGATAATCATATAAATTAATTAAAAATTTAAAACATGTTCTATCGGATCAAATTGTGAATCTAAACCTTTTTCGAATCAACTTAATCGCGCACACAAAATTTCATAAAAATTTCTCCACCCGTATAGGAGGAGTTTGAATACTTACACACGGACAGAAGAAATATATATATATAAAGATTTGGGTTTGGCTTGTTGTACATTTTATGCTAATTTTATATCGGTTTTGATACTTTTACCGTACTAATAATTTGTCAAACATAGGTTGAATTTTTTTATTACAAGTCATTAAACATAGCAATTATTACTATAACCAGTTCATTACTATTAAGTTCCCGACTTCTGAAAATATACAACAAAATACTTTTAATTATATTTTATCCCAGATAAAAATCGCTTAAATAAAATGTTTATTTTTATTTTTATTTAGTTTATTTATTTTTCGTTTTAGTATAGGCTCACAGTCTTATTTGAGCACGGTCGGGATGGTGAAGTGGGTATGGCAATAGCACAGTACCCACGGCAACGCCTAAACAATTCACAATTTTTTAACTGGTAAAAAAATCCCTTCAAAAATAGTCATAACATCCTTCTTGTAATTTATAAGTTTAAATCCACCAAATTTGTATCTAAGTCTGAATATCTTTCGACCTACATAGTACATTTGCGGACATCCATAGAAATGGTGACTATATTATTACACGTACAAGTTAAAATTCAATCATAATAATAATATCATCTAGTAAGAATTATACGTCAAAGAATTCCGTTAACTGTCATCCGCATCAAGAATGCATTGACTTAAAATTGTAAAAATAATCAAAAAATGATTGACATAACATTATTTTGTATATTGTATAGTATACTATTTATACCTTTATAAATAGTATACTTAGTATGTGTCGTTTAGTAATTTGTGTTAGGTATATCGTACAACAGGCAAATGCGTCTAGTGATTCGTTGAATTTCATCTTGTACTAAGTCATCAGATTTCTGTAGATGTAAACAAGTTCTGAGAGTCATAAAACAGTAATTAACAGTGCTCGGTAAAAAAATGATTGACTATATCATAAAGTAGTAATTATAGATAATCAAAGGTGTGGTTAGAGCAACGTTACATTTTTTAAATTTTACTGGGAAGCTTTTTTAGTTTTCCATAAACTGATAAAGGACACAAGACTGTTAAACCACATTCTACACCATTAATCCGTGTATTTAAGAACTTACTCTTATATATTCCAATCCAGCAAGTCTCAAGTAACTTTGTTGCACAAAAAAAAAAAGACTTTGTCAAAAAAGTTACATGAAACCGTTGCTTCAGTCACACTTCAATTATAAAAAGAACACAGTATTAACTATAGGTCCAAAATATGATAAACAATTCTTTTAAAACATATGATATGAAATAAAACAAATTGTTGGAAGATGAATTGTTCGGCTGGGTTATGTTTGTATCATGCTTCGTTGGTGATGACACTTAGTTAGACAAAATGATCTCGATATTACTACACAAAACTCTGTTGGTTCTATTTCTTTTTTAATTAAAGTACATCTAGACTGAAGCTCTGCTTAAGATCGTCGGATACACTCGTGTTAGTGAAACACTAATACCACTCCCGTTTGCACGTAGTTGCCGTACCGTAAAACTTATTGTAACTTGTCAAAACAAAATCGGTAGGTATACAATATACATACATACATAAAATTGGGTACGTTGAACCGGCGAACGTTAATCCAGATGGGCCAAAGTCCGCGGTTCTCGTTTATGTATGCTGTTCCTGAATTTTCACGCAACAATAGTATTCCATTGGCAATTAAATAACGTTTTACAGTTTGTTTGTGTATATATATATATATATAGATGATTGTGCGAAACGGTTAGCGACGGACGTCGACCAGTGTCAAAATAATATTACTATCCTCCGAAGATATATTTAAATTGATTTCCGAACGCCATCTCTTGTAACAATGCAAACCTTCAACTGTGTGAACAATAAACGAATTCGTGAGATGACATTTTGCCGTCAAATCGTGGTAGGTACTTATACACATACACACCCAGAACCTCATTCGACACACGTTATAAATAGCCAAACGTTATTCCAGCAGATTGTGTGTTGCAAACAATTATGTACACATAGGCACGGTGTGAGTGTAGAAAAAGATGAATACAAACCGTACCTATAATAGCTTCCCATAGACGTGTGTGTGTCGTATGCGTGTCTGAATAACGTACACCTCGCTTTTGTGGAATCCAATAAAAAAAAAACTTTTCATTACTGTCTTCTTCGTTTTTTTTAATTTTAATATTTCGCATTTAGAACATAATTT